ATCTACAGAGTTTGTGTACTTAGCTCTCTATTGTAAGGCAGGAAAATGTGGACTGCTTACATCAAAGAAGAAAGAAAACTGAACAGTTCTCATCTTCAAAGTCTCTACCGTATCCTGGGCATAATATGGCATGACAAAATCTCCAACACTGCTATTCTGGAACAGGCCAAGATGCTCAGTATTTTTGTCCTCCTGAGACAGATGCCTCCATTGGTTAGGACATGTGAACCATATGAGCGATGGCCAAATTCCCAAGGGCATACTCTATGGTGAGCTGACCACTGGCAAACATCAACTTGGATGGCCAAACTCCGTTTAGCTGATGTCTTCAAGAAAAATCTTTGTGAGCTGCACATTGATGGACAATGCTGGGAATCAATTACTTCAGACCACTGTGAATGGAAAGTCGCTGTGAAACAGGGCCTACATCGTTTGAGATGGAGGGGGGTCAATGATGAGCTAGAGAAGAGGTGTCAGAGGCAGACAAAACAAAATGGTACTCAGCATGTCAGTGCAAGCTCAACCAAGTTTTTATGTGCAACTTGCCAGTCTACCTGTCATACATTGGACTCCTCAGCCACTCAAGAAGCTGTGGTAGTACCCAGTAATCTGCCAAGAGGGCAATTCCCGTGGTCTCCTGAGACTTCTGGCTGCCAATGAATGATGAATTCCCTGTACTACAGTAATCCCCTCCTTGCCACGTTGGGATTATTGCCTGTACTGAACATGCTGCATAAATTTCTGCTTGAAATTCAGGAAAACAAGAGTGAAAACATTATTGGGGTAAGGAGGACTCTCCAAATAAGGCAGGAGGTAGGAGAGAGAGAGAGGCTGCTAGCCAGCAATTACTGTGAGTTGCAAAGCTGCCACTTCAGTGGTAGATGTGCCTCAGCTCCATATAAAGGACAAGCATCAAAGGGTCATGACAGGTGAAATTTTCTACAGAAAGACAACCTTTCCCTGAGGGAGTGCTAGCAGGGGCAAGACAGTAAGGCAGGCACTTCTGATGAAGGTGCTGCTGCTGTGTACCACCATCAAATACAATTATCAGTGGTGAACAGCAGGGGCCCCATTCGTCTGTATTCTGTGGCAGTTTTTCACTGCCAGCACAGTGGGACAGGACCTTAGTATACATGATAGTAAGGCTGCAAGTTTTTAGGGTTTACCCATTGCTCTACATCACCACTTAATGACCTCACAGATTGATACCAGGTGGAGGGTGATAATGATATCAGGAAACCCTAAATAAATATACTGTTGCACCATCTCTTGTATCCTTGAAATGCCTAATGAAAATGTTCTGCTGGGAGGCTGTGCTATATCAGACTGTATGTAAGTGATAGCATAAGACTCTCATTTATTGTATGACGATTGCAAAACTCTTGGATTTAATCCCTAAGAAGCTCATTATATTGACCACCCTTTCCTGAGCTCAGGTCTGTCCAAACACAGCACTTGTGGTTTACGATTAGGTGATGTTCAGGAGACTCAGCATACAAGTTGGTCACAAAATTAGTATAGAGTATCTGAGTCACAGTCAGATTTAAGTTAATTTCCCAGACTTTGTTGCTTGCTTTTTAGAGAAGAATATGTCTAATTTTCTCTCTTGTTGCAGACACATCAGTTCTGATCTCACATTTCATGTAAAAGCACCAGCACAGGAAAACAGTAGATATGTTTAAGATGAAGAACAACTCCTCTCAAAACTGGTTTAGTTGCATGTATTTTCTTCCCCATAACCCATGTAGAAACATGGGGATAGAAAGGCCATTCAGGCCATCAAGTCCAGTCCCCTATATTTATGGCCAACCATTTATCCAGAGAGTTGTAAAAACTGGGCCCCTCAATCCCCCCTCACACCTCAGCCACAAAGCACCTTATGAAAACAAAAGCAAAATCATTCTACAGTATGTCATAGGTAAAAGCAGGGGAGCCACAGGCACTTCCTAGGTCTTGCCACTGCAGTGGCAGCAAAGTTATTAAGGTTATTGTCAGCTAATTCTAGGAAGAGAACTATGTCCCACACTGGAGAGTAAGCCACCCCCACCCTTTCTTCTCCCCCTTCATCTACCCCACTTTCAAGTCCTTTCTAGTCTGACCTGGGAGAGAAACTCATTCTTGCTCCCAAATCTAGTGATCAGTTTGACTCTGAAGTGGAAAAGCAAGATTCTCTAGAGAGGTGCTTGAGAGGTTTCAAAGTACTGTCAAGTAGGCCTGTGTGAAGCAGCTAGTATTCACTTCTGATTTGGATTTGGCCGATTCAGGGGACAGCAATTCAATTTGATGATTCAAATCGTTGTCCTGAATTGACTTGGCCAAATCTCATTCGGAGATTCAGCCACCACTGAACGGAGTGAATCTCCAAATTGAACGGGCCCCATCCCCGGCCCGCTCTCCCTGCCCCGTCAATGGATTTCCCGCCCAGCCCCAGCCTCCTGCCTCATTTAAAAAAAAAAAAAGAAAAAAAAAAAAGCCTGGAACTCACTGGCTACTACCAGGCAGGGGGGGTGAGGGGGGGTGATCTCCACCGCCCCCCACTGGCCCACGCTGCATGGGGGACTCTGTTACATGCCTCCATCCCTTGCTCACTCTCCCAGCCCTAGCATCCTGGCTCTTAAAAAAAAAAAAAAGAAAAAAAAAAAAGCCCCCACTCACCAGCTGCTGCCAGGTTGGGGACGGGGCAATCCCCACTGCCCCGTGCTGCATGGGGGGGTTCTGCCATGAGTCCCCAGAAGCCCTGATGGCTGCTGCAGCAGCCCGTAACTATGGGGCTTTTTTGTTTGTTTGTTTTAAGAGCCTGGGGCTTTGTTTGAAGAGCCTGGAGCTGGGGCCGGGGGCGGCAGCCGTGGCGGGGCTGGGAGAGTGGGTGGGGGATGGGGGTGTGGGGCAGTGGGGGACAGCTCCTCCTAATTATCTGCATACCCCTCTGTGCATCATGGGAATGCTCCATAAAGCACAACATTTTCTATGCATTTGTTGATTGATGCAACGCATAAGAGTCCATATAATATCACTAGAGAGTTTCCTGTTTACTTGTGATTATAAACCTCTTTCAGCTAAAAGGGATCCATATATAAGCTGTAGCATGTGGGGACATTACTGACATAGATGCAACTCTTCAGAACACATGGTCCATCACATGGCTTATGTTCACCCGGAGTCATTATTATTTTATGACATAAAACATATGAGGTATTCTTAATTCATATAACTCAGTACAAACTATGAGTGTAGCAGACTTCAGATATTCTTCATTTTCCCAACAAAGTTCCCTTATGTATGAAAAGACATACAAATAGAAGCTGCTTATATAAAATGAAAGGAGACTTACTTTTTGACATATTATATTTCTCAGTAAAGTGAAAGGCATGTCACGCCTTGCTTTCTCAACTAAGGCATGTCAGTTAATCTGTGGCATGTAGCAACCAAACAAACAGCTTGTTATATGCCTATCACTTCACTGTGAGGCATTCCCCATAACATCACTACCCTGACTGCAAACTATTAGAAGGCCTATTCACCAGGAATGTAATATTTTGTGCCCATCTATAACCCGTGACCATTAGAGATGAAAGGGGGAAATGAGAAGTATAGACAGATATACATATTTCCAAACACAAATACTTAATTAGGATAAGTAAGGGTGTAAATTAAAATGTATTTATACAAATTCTAGACCATTGGAACTATTAAAGATGAAAAGATCTCATTATCTGTTTCTCTCTGCTGCTCAAAAACTCTGGAAGCCAAGGAGTTATTATGGAAGCACTTAAAGGAGTCCAGGCTGGAGCTCATTAGTTGAGGTTCCAATAGATTCCTCTGGCTCTTAGTCTCAGCTGCTCTGTTTTTTTCTTTGGGGTCAGATTTGCAGAACTGCTCAGCAGAGTTGCCAAATGAAAGGCCAAGAATTCTGAAAAACAGCCAACCAAAATGCAGATCCCTTGTAACAGTGATCAAAGAAACGTCTCATTCTAGTACCTGCCAGGGTTAGACACCTCAACAGGCAGCAGTTTGTGGGGCATGCCCTCATTCTACCTCCTCCAAACCAGCTTGAAGAGTAGAAGGAAAATGTGCACTTAAAACACTATGCTTTCTGGCAGCTGAACCCTTCCTGGATCCCGCACTGGCCAGCACAGAACTGTGATACTTCCAGTGCAGGTCAGGACCTGTTCCTTTAGCTAGGCTGTCAGAACTTCCTCCAGTAACCAGTTCCTAGAAGCTCTTGGAGGCCAATTTATTCACTCCTTTTGAAGGCTATGAAGCCCTATTAATGAGTTAAAAATGTATCAAGCTCTTGATCTCATCAATGGGTTGCATTCATTGAATGTGACTAAAACAGATGAGGAAGAGCTTGAGGACATTTTTAATGGCATAGGGAAGCTGTCAATATAGTACAGAGTTATTGTAAAAAAAATTACTTTCCCATGCTTCATGCCCCTAGGAAAGTTCCTTCCATACTAAAACAGAGGCTGAAGGAAAAGCTGAGCAGAAGAATTAATGGGGTGGCTAAGCTCATTGGGCACTGCAGGAAAAAATATGGTACCTTTTCGTAATATTTTGACTGGAGTTGTTCTTCTTTGAGCCAGTACTTAATGAGTCAAAAATTAAATAAATCTATGAAAAAGGAACATTTTCCATTACCTATATAGGGAGGAATCTTTGAAGAGATGGCTAAAGCTATTAAATATTTTTCTAGGGTGTGGGAGCCAAGTTGCACCTGCAGCTGGAACTAAGAGCCCTTGACATCTTCCCAAACATGGTCAAAATCAGGGAGCATGGTACACAGGAGCCTGGGGGGAAGCTTTGATACCACAGCAATTGAGACCCGGGACCTGGATTTTGAGCCTGTGCCCTCCACCCCAAAGGAGCCCCTTCCCCCCTGCTGGTCCTTGACCCTACAGAGAGCAGCCAAGCTTGCAGGCCCTGGGACACTGTTCCCCACTTTGCTGCCATGGGTATTCCAAACCCACTTCTCTGACACCTTGCTACCTCCCTTCCAGATCCACAAAGTGCCCAACCCCACCACCACAACCACAATCCCCAGAACCCATGGCTAGCCCTCTCCCAACTTCTGCTGATGAGTCAGGCACCAACTGAGGACACCATGCAGCCTGGGAAGGTACGGTTCAGCCCTGCTACATACAGCCATGATGGGGACCCAGGTACTGGGGGAAATGCAGAGCCCCTCAAAGGAAGTTGGGTAGGAAGAGGGAGTGGGGGGACTTGCAGCTGCTACAGGCCATCCCCATGGTCAGAGCCCTCTCTTAGGCCATTGTGACTGAGAAGCCCAGAAAGGGGCCGGGGGGTGGGGTGGGGAGGGGCATTCAGGGATAAGGGTGTGAGGGGAGGGTGAATTGCCCTGCCTGACCACACAAAGCATAGGCCCCCAAGCCACTATCTGCTTGAGAGGTTTCTGGGATTTCTGTCTTTCAGCACTGGGCAGACCAGTCTTCCCACCCCTTTTCCACCTCCCTCTCCCTCCCATTCTGGACCACAGCTGAGGCACTGATCTCTTCCCCACCCCACTCCTGCTCCCCCCACCCTCCCTTGGGCAGTTGGCAGCCCATCTCCCTTTCTATGGAACATAAATCTGTTTTATTCACACCTCCCTGCTCTATATCTCCTGGCCATGATCAGCTCCTCCCAGAGCAGTGGTGCTGAAGCAGCTTCCCTTCCCCCTTGCTCACTAAAAGGCACTGAAAGAGTTTATTAAGCTATGCAAACAAAGTTTAAAAAACAGGTACAAGAGCTGGCATTTGGCACCCTGCCCTAGTTGGCAGTGCCACAGACCCAGGTGGCAGAGAGGACACCAAGAAAGGAGATAACACACAGCTATCTGTGAGAACCACTGGAGTAGCAGTACATCAGGAATGAGAAAAATTCCCCCTTGCCAAACAACTCCTCTCCCAGGTAGGAGTCCCACATGGGAACTGTTAGCTAATCTGGTCCCACTGCCAGGGTGACTCTCAAGTTGTACACCTGGAAAGGCTTGCAAATGGCACTCCAGCACTTTCCCCCCACCCATCTGATCCAATCCCTGGAAAAAGTCCATGGGTGCCAGGTGATTTGGAGTCTCATGGCACAGGCTGTCACTGTACTAACCTCTCAAGGCAACCCTTACTCCCCCTTCTGCAGTCCTGACCCCATTCCAGTTCCAGTCAGCCCCCGCAACCCCAGCCCCTGAAAGTAAAACAAATCCCACCTCCAACCCCTACGAAAGTATTCAAAGTAGAAGAATAATGCAGAAAGCCAAAGGCAGTGCAGGGCAGGGCTCTTCTTAGGTAGTTGGGGTCTGGGGAAACCTCCCCCGGAGTCAGGTCATGGGTTGAGCATAGTGTCAATAGCTGTGGTGATTTCAAACTAGTCCAGGGGTGTCATTTCATTCCAGTGGAGCCACATGTAGTACATAAATGGTAACCCAGGTGCACATTGAACAGCAACCCGGGCTTTCCCAGTGCACTGTCAAACCAGATAGCCCCCCTACAGCTCTCAAGCATTTCCTAGGGGACCATGTCTTGCAGCAGGAGCACAGCATATTGGTGTACAGAAGCACTGGTAGCAACACCGCCTTCATGAGTGCTACGTGCCCCCCCTGTGGAGAGATGGTGCTCATGCCACAGATCTAACCTCTACTTAAACTTGGCCTCCTTTTTCTCCCAGGCCATCTTTCTGCTCAGCTTGGGGTCAAACTCCACCCCGAGGATCTTGACTCCCTCACAGGGAACCAAGACCTCCAGGGACTCCAGGTCCCTGAGCTCACCCACAGCCAGGCAGGTGCTCTTGCTCATATTGAGCTTAGCCCCTGCTGCTGCTATGTAGACCTCTGTGTGCCACAGGGCTCTTTCTACTGAACACTTATTCTAGCACAGGATATTTAGGTTGTCCATGTAGGCCAGGACCCTGGTCTCTTCCTTTGGGGGTCAGAATAGATGGCCCACTGAGGTTCCTTCTGACCTTAGAATCTATGAATCCTAGAATCTATGAATCTTCCGTGCTTCCGCCAGGGATCTGGACTCTGCTCATCCCAGGGTTTTGCCTGATGTGCTGGGTCAGGGGTTCAATGGTGCAGATAAACAGGATCAGGGAGAGCGGGCAGCCCTGATGAACCCCCAACTCTATTGCTCTCTGCTTGCTCAAGAACCCATTGACCACCACCTCACTGCTCACGTCCGTGTACAGAGTCCTTATCCAGGCAGCGATGGTCAACGGGTGCAATGAGGTGCTGGTCAATGGGCCCATTCGCCTCAGCATCTCAAAGGGAAAATGGTGTGATACTCTGTTGTAGACCTTTTCCAAGTCCAGGTTTAGCACAGCAGCCTTCTGCCCTCTGTCCCATTCCAGCTGGAGTGTGTTCCCCATATGCAGCAGGGCCCCATGGATCCAATATCCTGGCACCACACACAATTGGTTCTCATGGATGGATTTAAATTACACTGCACTGGTTTTACCCCCACAGAATCCAGAGAGCCATGTGTGTCTCTTTCTGGGGATCCAGAGGGGAGAAGATGGCAAGGAAGACCCTGTACAAGAAGAAACAGATCAGGGTACACAAGCCAGATCTGCAAGCTGGCGACCAGTGCAGAGATAAAAACAGTCTGTTTTGTCAGGTACTTTGCAGGTCACATCCTGAGATGGTGGGGGCTGTATGCACCAACCAATGGGAGACTGTGGACCATGGAACACCCCTGGTTCTACAAAGTCCTAAATGAGTTCTGGAGTGAGTATGGGTTACAGAATGAAAGCCCGGTGACTATGTCCAACCACAGGAAGATACAGAAGGTGGTCCAAACCGGAGACAGGCTATCAACTGTGGAACTGCTCCCCAGTGATGACTGCCCGGCCATCTGGGAGTAGATCTTCCACAAGGACCTATGAAAGGACCACAGAGACTTGAACTGGCAAAGAGCTCACTGCGCACTGCCAGTGAGGGGGTGGAGACACAGAGAGGGGCAAGGGACTCGACCCAGCTGCCCCAGGGAAATCTGCCAAGGCACAAGAGAGACCATCAATTACCTGTTATGACTCTGTCCATACACCAAGGGGGTGTGGAAAAAGGTAAACCGGCTCCACAAAGAGCTGACAGGGGTCAGGCTGATGATGAGGGAGGCAGCACTGTATGGACACCTGACTAAACATCAGGGGGCCCCAACAACTTGCTTCAACCAGTCCGTGTCCTGCATCAGAAGCACCCTGTGGAAGTGCAGGAACCTCCTGATGTACAGACACACAGAACTCAAGGAAACAGACTGTGTTAAAATGTTGCTGTGTGAACTCCAGCCCTACTACCAGAAATCAGTGGGAGACGATAGAGAAGCTGTAGCCACCTGGCAAAGGGTCACTTGGCACAGCCTGTTCAAAGACCCCCCTAGAAGGGGAGTGGACAGGGATAACAGAGAGGACAGTGACACAACTGGACCTGGAGACAGCGATGATGACAGCAGCAGTGGAAGCAACAGTGACAGCGACAATGACAGTGAATGAACTGAGAATGTAAACCCCCAAATTGTGGCTAAGACTAAAAGACTGTGATTGAGTTAGGGAAAGGACTGTGGACGGGTGCACAGGAGCATGGGTCCATGAGTACGTTTATTGTAATGGGCACATGGGTTTTAAATGTCGTGTAAGGCGTGCGAAGAAAAGCTTTTGCTTGATACTATATATATTAACAATATATATATAGAGAGAAATATATTAAAAAAAAAAAAGAGCACAGCATGTTGGCTGGTGTTCCCTTGGGAGTAATGGCAAAGCTTATCCTTCCAGGCCCAGGCAACTCTCACTAGAGAAATGCTGGAAGTGAAGTACTGCTCCTGCACAGACAGCACTGAAACACCTCTCCTATAAGAGAAGGACAGGGGTAGGAACAGTGGAAGAGGTGTGCAGGCACAGTCAACTCTCTCTCACCAGGGAAATGTTGGGAGTGAGGTACCCCATTAGCACCTCTCCAGGTATGGTCCAAATCCCTGCAAGATCCTGGGTCCCTGAACCCTTTGAAGGAGTGGAGCAGGTGCCCATTACAGTGCCCGGAGAGGAACCTAGGCTCTCCCTCCCCAGCAGCCCACCCCAGCACCACTGAATAGCCTGCTGCTCTCCCGCAGCACAGCCAAGATCCCAGTCTCCACTGTGCCAGGTGGAGGGCAGTGGCATGGCTCCTCACCTCAGGTGAGGAAAGGGTCCAGACAGGGGACTCACCATAGTTACCTTCCTATCTCCACACGAGCGCCCAGATAACTTCTGGGAGGGTCTCAAATGCCTGCCCTCATACTTACTTTTATCAGTAAAAGTTGCAACCTCACACAAAGACACTGTGTCTCTCCTGTCTAACTGCAGAGACACCACCTGTGTGAGGGAGGACAGCACAGCGAGGGTGTGATGTCAACTCAAGACCAGGGGACCACACAGCTGCAGAGTACATGAGGAATGTCTGTAGGAGGCATCAAAGAAGCAAGAAGGAGATGCTGCAGGCCTTGGACACTCTCTCCGAACTCCAGGCACACAGACCCGACTCCTGGCATCAGGAGCTGTGGGACTGGTATGAGAGACTCCAGATATAGATGAGAAATATGTTCAGGATGAGGGATGCCTACACCTGGGCTTCTGAGGCACAAGAATGGGGGGTCAAGATGGCCATCTGCTGTTTCAAGGAGATAATCTGAACCTCCATGGAGCTAGCAGAATTGAAGTTCCAGGAGAGGGAATTTATGGACAGGATCCTGAATGATTTTGTATTCACCTATGACACCCCTGACTGACAGCAGTGCTGCCTCTCACAGAAAGCCTGTAGCTCTAGGCTGCTACCCAGCCCTCCACAGCATGCTGTGCCCTGCCCCAGGGCCTCTGCCTGGGGGTGACAAGAATGAGGGTTCCATGGGAGGAACCCATGATTGCTGGCTGGGTAGGGGGAATGCCCTGACTGGGAGCAACCAGAGTGGGAGGGGGATCCGAGACAGGAGTACTATGGGTGACTCATGATCCAGGGAAGCAAAGAGGCCACAGGTGGAGCCTGCTCTGGTGGGCAGCAGTGGGCCAAGGAAGCAGGACCGGGGTGCCTGGGCCCCAGTGCCAGGGCCATCAGGGACACTACCTTGCCCCCTCCCCAAAGCTGATCCACTC